AATGGCAGAAATTAATGCCATCTTAAAGAACAAAGGATGCAAGGGTAGTGTCCCCCCTCAAATCTCCACTTAATTCGCCCATCCGGACGCTGCGAGATCCAGGTATGTCCTGTAGTGTGAAAGTAGACTACAACAAACGAACCAAATATCCCCAATTACAGCTACTGCGCCCGATGCATCCATGCTAAAGTGGATTCACATAGTCCACACAGTTATCAGTGTCAGATAACTGACCACTGATCTGGCCGATGCACGACTTATCCCCACCAAAAGGAAGATCAGAAACAGTAGATTCACTTGGAATTGATACAAGTGTATATTTATGGTTTTCCTACAGGGCTGTGTTAACTCTGTCAAAATATGGTCTAAAGACATGAGAACTGTCTGGATATTTCTTAGAACTTCATAGTAGTTCCTGTGTTAATGATATCATATGCATCACGCTAATGAGGCCAGATGAGCAAGAAGTGTCAAGTACTTTGTGTGAGACACATACACTCTAGAAAGTGGGAGAAATGTCCTGTGATATACAAGAGGTTGCCTCATCAGTGAACTTTTTAGGAGTCCAGTGGTCTAAGCATGCCGGAACATTCTAAAGCAAGGAACACATTACTGCAACTCATACCTACCACAAGGAAGAGGGAAGCACAACTTCTAGTAAATGTATTCATGTTTTAGAGGCAGCATATTCCACAACTGTGAATACTGCTTAACCTAATACCTGGTAACACAGGAGGCTGCCATCTTTGACTGGGAGGCCCAGAATAGGAGAGAGCTCTGCAGCAGGTCCAGTTGCTACAAGTGGCAGACCCTACAGTCTTGATGTTTCAATTGATCATCACTTCTCTTCCTCTACTGTCCATTTTAGATTCCCCTCAACCTCAGGAAGCACCTCTGCTGAGCCTCTGCTCATTCCATTATATTACAGGTATCCAAGGTGGAGTTTCTAGCAAGCCCCAGGAGGACAATCACAGTATAGGTCTTCAGGGTTCTGGAGCAAGACCACACTGTCTACAGCAGGGAATTAGACACCTTTTGAAAAGTAGCTCCTGGAGGGCTACTAGACCCTGGCAGAGATGGAATACTTCACCAAGGGGCACCAAGTGACCACGTGTCTAGAACCGTTCGTTATTAGTTAGGTTCTGCCTTTCAAACTCACCAAGACCTAAAGTTGAATGGGCCTGGCAATAATCCATAGTAAGATGGAAGTGGTATGTCCAGAACTGGGCATGAACAGAGCTACACAGTCAGGTGGCCCAGACACATGTCACCGCCAGTGTGGCACCAGGGTTTCTTCCTCAGCTCACGCCTGTGGCTGCACAGGGGGCAAATTCCTTTATGATCCGCTGACAAAAGAGGAAAGCCTTTGCTTTGCCTTGATTCACAGACGGTTCAGACTGGCACGTGGGTGCAAGCCAAAAATGAACTGTGACTACAGTACAGCCCACCACAGGCTGATCTTGACAAACAGTGGCAAGGGAAGTTCCCCCAGTGGATCAATCCTCTCAGGGGTGCATCTGTTCATCCACTTTGTATGGAAAGACATGTAGCCCAAGGGTACACTTTATATTCATACATGGCTACTAGCAGCTGCCTTGATGCGTGGATCAGGGGTCTGGAAGGAGAAAGATGAGAAGATCAAGGACAAGGATGCTGGGGACAGAGGCATGTGGATGGACTATTTGAGTAGCTAAGAAGCGTGAAGAGGACCACCAGAGCATCTACCATGAAACACCAAGCAACCAGATAGAATGGTTTCGCCAACTGGATGTCAGCCAGATGCCATCAGCCACCCCAGAACTGGCACAGTGGGCATGTGAAGGAGCAGCTATGGTGGCAGGGATGGGGACAGACACACAGACCAAATAGCATGGGCTGTCACTCACAAGGGCTTATGTAGCTACCGCCACTGCTGAATGTCCAGCCTGCCAGCAATGCATCAGTGCTGATCCTCGGAAATGGCAATGGCTCTCAAAGTGAATAAGTAGCCACTTGATAGTAAGTTGACTACAGTGGATCCCTTCCATTCTAGAAATGGCAGAAATTTATTTCAACTAGAATGGACACATGCTTACCTTTTCCGCCGGCAGGGCCTCAGCCAACACCACTATCTGAGCGTTTTACCCACTGACATAGGATCCCACATCACATCACATCGGACCCAAGGGCCCATTCATTGCATAGCCAAGGAGGCATGACAACGGCATGTGACCATGGGATCACCGGTCCTGTCACATTCTGCACCACCCAGAAGATACTGGCTTGAACGAAGAGAAGAAATGGGCTGTTGAAGGCATAGCTGAGATGCCAGCTCAGAGATGATGATACCAAGTAAGGAGGGGACACCACCTTCCAGGGCACAGTGTACACTCTATTCAACAACCAATAAAGCGCTACGTCCCACTGGGAGGAATATATAGGTCCAGGAACCAAGGGGTAGAGATAGGAGTGGCTCCACTTTACATTAATCCCATTGGGGTATTTCTGTTACCACAACTCTAAGCTTTGAGGATTTCAGGTTCTGGTTCCCAGTGAGGAAATGTCTCCGTCAAGGGATACAGCAAAAGTACACCAAGGAACCAGTAGGCAAGAAGCAGGAGCCACCGTCCTGGCAGGAGTAGTGGACCCTGCCCCCCAGGAAGAGATGAGCTGCAGTTGCACAGGGGGGCCAGGAGGAATACGTCTCTGTGCGCTCTTGCCCCTCGTTGATGGGAAATGCACAGGTGCAGCAGCCATGGCCTGAAGAGGGTGTGGTGGCCAGGGGCTCAGCTGAGGTGCCTCCTGCAGGGAGGAGAATCTAAAATGGATAGAAGCCGAGGCAGGCGCAGTGGCTCACGCCTATAATCTCAGCACTTTGGGGGGCCGAGGCGGGAGGATCACTTGAGGTCGGAGTTTGAGACCAGCCTGGCTAACATGGTGAAACCCTGTCTCTACTAAAAAAAAATTACAAAAATTAGCCAGGCGTGGTGGCGCATGGTTGTAATCCCAGCTACTCAGGAGGCTGAGGCAGGAGAACTGCTTGAACCTGGGAGGCAGAGGTTGCAGTGAGCCGAGATCATGCCATCGCACTCCAGCCTGGGCAAGAGAGTGAGACTCGGTCTCAAAAAAAAAAAAAGTAAAATAAAATAAAATGGATAGAAGTCCGAGTGCAGTGCTTCACACTTGTAATCCTAGCACTTTAGGAGCCTGAGGCAGGAGGATCACTCAAGCTCAGAAATTCAACATCAGCCTGGGCAACATAGTGAGACCTCATCTCTTAAAAAAAAAAAAAAAAAATGTAATTAGTTGAGTCCAGTGGCACACACCTGTAGATCCAGCTACTCAGGTGGCTGAGGCAGGAGGATCACTTGAGCTTGGGAAGGGGAGGCTGCAGTGAGCTGTGATCACACCACTGCACTCCAGCCTGGGCAACAGAACCAGACTGTCTCTAAATAAATAAATAAACAAAGGATAGAAGAGGGAGATGGGGAGTATCACAGACCTCAAGCACAGCTGCAGTGGTGGGGGCTGTGGTCATCTGATGAACCGTTAGTTTGTTCCAGAGAAAGGCGAGCTGCCCCAGAACTTAGCCGGAGGAGTGGATGCCCTGATACACAATCCAGATCCCCTCAAGACAGAGGCTCTGCCACAGCTGCCGGGAGGATTGCTGGCTCACCCCCCTCCTCAGGAATTGCCCCCAAGTGAAGAGAGCTTCCCCACCCAGTGTCCCACCTCCTCTCTGAGGACAGTATGCACCCAGTGACTGGCTGAAGCTGGGGTACAAAGGTCTGGCCCCTCAGCTCGGTGGGGATGGGGGCATCTGAAGCTGGGACGGCCATGAGACTTTTCTAAGGCTTCAGAACCCTCCATGGGTTCAGCTGAGGGGACTGCCTTGCAGCCCAGCTTCTCCCTCTGAGCAAGTCTGAGCTTCCTTCCCTTCTCCTGTAGGTGCGGAACCTGAGAGCAGCCCCATTACACTCCCTGCCTGCAAATCTCCATCTCAAAGTCAGCCTCCAGGGAGCCGCCCTGAAACAGAGTCTGTGGTGGAGCTCTACAGAGTATCCCTGTGCAGATAACCAGCGCTGAGCGTTAGAGCAGGACTCTCTCCACCCGCACGGCACGGCGCCGGGGCTCTGCACACCCCTCTGCAGCCATCCTCGCTGGTGTCCCTCAGCTGACACCCTTGCCCTCGGTGTGTCCTTCCTCATGGCCTGCAGGTTTCACATCCCAAGCTACAGATCATGTCTTCTGGTTTGGGCTCTGGCGGAGAGTTCAGAAGCACCTGTTCATTATCTTAGCACGTGTGGAAATCGTCTCTCATGACCGCGGAGGGCAGGCATCATGCAGAGGGTTACGTGGGCCTGCTCGACATTGGTGGTTGTTAGCTCTCATGTCTATGCCTTGGTCCCTTTCCCCGCAGGACTTGGAGAGCAAGCTGTTTGAATCTGATGCAACCCCTGGGCTTCGACTATCATGCCAAAAGGCAGCACATAAGTGCCTTTTCTTCCCTTCAGAATGCATGGACAATCCAAAGCCCTATTAGTCTATTATTCAGAATGAAAAGTGTTTACAATATTCGTCCTCTTACTCCTCAGTATGTGAGACTGTTCCTCATAGCAGGTAATTTCTTCCTAATTCAAAAACTCCTCATGGAAGCATCTGTTTTTGTCATCAAGGAGGGGACTGTATGTGGAATTGCAAGGCCAAAGACACCGCGGGTCAACTCTTCTCAGGACCAGATCCAAGTCGCCAGTGGGAACACACGTTCAGGCAGCCGCCACCAGCACCCCGCCTCAGGAACGAGGCTCCCTGCTTCATGTGGGCAAGAGGTGCCCCTGTTTTCCCAGCAGGCAGTCGGGGGTCTGGAGCCTAGGGAGCAAAGTGAAGCATACACTCCTGCTTCCTTCCTTCCCTGCACTTGGTGAGGTTCTGGCTCAGCTTAGATTAATGTCATCTCTTCAGCCTGGCCCAGTTTATCACTATGGGAAGGAGCCCAGCAGCAGGGGCTGCCAGACCTGGAAATAGATCCGCTCATTGCAGTATGGCAGGTGCAGAGGAGCAGAGCCAGCCATAGCTGGAAGAGAATCTTGGGGCACGGAGATGCACAAACACATAGGAGCAAGTCGAGACCCAAGTACCAAGCTGTAGAGTTACTGCACCATAGCAACCCAGGCCAGGAGGCAAGGTAAGAGGACGGTTATTACAGAGAGCCACGGGGCAAGAGTGGAGCCACCTTGACAGTGGGGGTGACCAGAAGCCACATCTAGGAGTGTTGACCCAGAGTCTGCATTTCGTCCTGCTCAGGACTGTAGGAGAGGCCCATCTTAAATGCTGCTGTCTCCGTGAGCTTTTGGAAACCTTACCGGCTTCCTCCCATGTTCAGGCAGCTCCACTAAGGTAACCTTCCTGCCTTGTCTCCACCCCTCTATTACTTTGCCCCGGGGAAAATGAAAGATGACCACTTGGATAGGTAGGTGGGGAGGGGAAACGGGTCCTGCATAGGCCAGTTGGCCCCTCCATCACCTTGGGGGTGAGCACATGCAGGGTACAAAATCCCACTGCTCTCGCTGAGGGGGCTGCACCCCTACAGGACTAAAGGAGCCGCTCCTAGTCCAGGGCTGCCATGGCTGGGTGGGTGAGCCTGCCTCCTAGTGGGATTTGCATTAGCAGCTCACTTAGTTCACAGGTCTAAAGCTGTGTCCTCCAGTCCAGCCCTCTAGCAGTAATAAAGAGGATATTTGGGTTCCTGTTGCCATTCCTTTGTTTTATTTCTCAGGGCCCTCAGAGACACCCCAGAATAGGGTTCCTGTCCTCTTCAATCTTGCCCTTCTTTGAGTCCCCATTGCATTTTGTGGTATGTTCCTAGCATGAACTTTCATTCTTTCAGTAGTTACCTCCTTATTTCCTTCCCCCCTGCATTTAAAAATAATTTTTATAGACGAGGTCTCACTCCGTCACCCATGCTGGAGTGCAGTGGTGCAATCATAGCTCGCTGGGCTCAAGCACCCTTCCTGCCTCTGCCTCCCAAGTAGCTGGGACCACAGGTGCACATGACTATGCCCAGCTAACTTTTGTTTTTCTTTTTTGTAGAGACGGGAGTCTTACTTTGTTGCCCAGGCTGGTCTCAAACTCCTGGCTTCAAGCAATCCTTCTGCTTCGGCCTTCCAAAGTGCTGGGATTACAGGCATGAGCCACCATGCCCAGCCTCCTTCCCTTACTAGCTGAGAACTAAGAGAAGACACTCTGGAGACAGAGGAGGAAACAATGGCGACACCGCGTGATGAAACATAGTGGAGGATGAAGACAAGGCTCCGTCAGGGGCACCAGAGAGGGAAGCCCAGTTCTGTGGGGAAGGTATGGGGCGGCTTCACAAGCCCAGTGTCTGTCTGCTCTCTTTGTAGGAGATGTGTTGTTTCGGCATCCATTCCCGCTTCTTTTAGGAAAAGTGCTTGAATTTCCTTTTCAGGAACCACCCACCATCCTCTCATCCATGCGTTCTGTTCCCGGCATCAGGGGTAGACAAGTGACTTCAGGCGTGGCCAGTTAGGGTTCTGACTCTTGGTCAAATCGGAGTGAATCCTGAGTCATTTGTAAACTCCAAGCAAAGGGCTTGCTTTGTTTTCTGTTGAATGCAGTGCTGTGAGGTAACCAGAAATGAAGCTGCTTTCTTGCCACAGTGAAGGCAAGAAAAGGGCCTGGCCGGCAAATGATGCCAGCGATTGGGGTGGAGCTGGAAGAGGGGGAGTGAGGAGGCCCAGACATCTTGGGAGCCCCGAATTCACCTCAGGATTTAACTTCTCTGCTGCTCAGCCAATTAACTCCTTTCTTCCATGACTAGTTTGAGTTGAGTTTTTAGTTTTTGCAACTAAAACAGCACTGACTAATACACCCTTAGGTAAGATTAGAGCAAGAATTTCCAATATCTGTTTTCTTCATCCTGAAATTTGGTGAGGATATCTAAGGTTCTTTTGTCTTTTGAAAGAATTCTGTTGCAATGGAAAGTATCAACCCATATTTTTCCATTTCTCCAAAATGTTTTAGTGTATATCTACAGGGCACAAACTTCTCTCTGTAGGCCCTCTGCCATAGTTGCTCTCTGCCACCTGTTAAGGGGCTGGTATCTAGAATATATAAAGCACTCTTAAAGCTCAGCCGGGCGCGGTGGCTCACGCCTATAATCCCAGCTCTTTGGGAGGCCGAGGCAGGCGGATCACCTGAGGTCAGGAGTTTGAGACCAGCCTGGCCAACATGGCAAAACTCTAGCTCTCTAAAAATACAAAAATTAGCCAGGCGTGGTGGCTCACTCAAGACTGAGGCAGAAGAACTGCTTGAACCCAGGAGTTGGAGGTTTCAGTGAGCCCAGATGACGCCACGGCACTCCATCCTGTGTGACAGAGTAGCACAGGACGGCAAAAACAAACAAAAGCTCTTAAAACTCAACAATAAAAGACAAATAACCCAATTTAAACATGCGAAAAGGGCCAAGTGTGGTGGTACTCCCAGCACTTTGGGAAGTTGAGGTGGGCAGATTGCTTGAGCCCAGGAGTTTGAGACCGGCCTGGGCAGCATGGCAAAACCACATCTCTACAAAATATTGAAAAGAAAAAAAAAAATTAGTCAGGTGTGGTGTTGCACACCTGTAGTCTCAGCAACCTGGAGGCTGAGGTGGGAGGATCGCTTAAACCTAAGGAGATAGAGGCTGCAATGAGCTGTGATTGTGCCTCTGCACTCTACCCTGGGCAACAGAGTGAGACCCTGTCTCAAAAAATAATCATAAAGAAAGAAAGATGAGAAAAGCATTTGTTTCTTTCCTTCTTTTTTTTTTTTTTTTTTTTTTTGAGATAGGGTCTGACTGTGTCCCCCAGGCTGGAGTGCAGTGGTGCAATCTTGGCTCACTGCAATCTCTGCCTCCCAGGTTCAAGTGATTCTCCTGCCTCAACCTCCCGAATAGCTGGGACTACAGGAGCAAGCCACCACACCCAGCTGATTTTTGTATTTTTAGTAGAGACGGAGTTTCACCATATCGGCCAGGCTGGTCTCAAACTCCTGACCTCAAGTGATCTGCCCACCTCAGCCTCCCAAAGTGCTGGGATTACAGGGGTGAGCCACTGTGCCTGGCCTTTTTTTGCTGCTGTTGTTTTTGTTTTGTTTTTTGAGACAGAGTCTCGCTCTGTCGCCCAGGCTGGAGTGCAGTGGCTCAATTTTGGCTCGCTGCAACCTCTGCCTCCTGGGTTCCAGGGATCCTCCTGCGTCAGCCTGCTGAGTAGCTGAGACTACAGCCGAGGCGCCACCATGCCTGGCTAATTTTTTTTTTTTTTAAGTAGAGATGGGGTTTCACCATGTTGGCCAGGCTGATCGTGAACTCCTAACCTCAAGTGATCTGCCCAGCTCAGCCTCTCAAAGTGCTGGAATTACAAGCATGAGCCACACTGTACCTGACCTTTTTTTTTTTTTTTTTTTTTTAAGAGAGATGAGTACAAGGTAGGGACTCAGAGGAAAGGGTGGGAAGGGAGTGAGGGATAAAAGACTACACATTGGGTACAGTGTGCACTGTGTAGGTGGTAGGTGCACCAAAATCTCAGAAATCACCACTAAATGACTTATTCCTATAACCAAACACCACCTGTTCCCCAAAAACCTACTGGGAAAAAAAAAAAAGAAAACTCACATAAGTAAATAAATGCAGGCCAGGCGCAGTGGCTCATACCTGTAATCCCAGCACTTTGGGATGCCAAAGTGGGCGGATCACCTGAGGTCAGGAGTTTGAGACCAGCCTGGCCAACACGGAGAAATCCTGTCTCTACTAATAATACAAAAATTAGGTGGGCGTGGTGGCGGACACCTGTAATCCCAGCTACTTGGGAGGCTGAGGCAGGAGAATCACGTGAACCTGGGAGATGGAGGTTGCAGTGAGCCAAGGTCGCGCCACTGCACTCCAGCCTGGGTGACGAGCAAAGCTCTGTCGAAAGAAGAAAAGAAAGGAAAGAAAGGTGCCGTCTGGCTGTGTTGCCCAGGCTGGAGTGCGGTGGCTATTCATGGTATGATCATAGTGCACTGCAGCCTCAAAACTCTGGGGTTCCAGTGGTCCTCCTGCCTTAGCCTCCTGTGTAGCTGGTACTACAGGCTACAGCTAAACGGCTCAGCTCCTCAGTCCTCCTTCATCTGCCACAGTGGATACAGAGCGTGGCAGCCCCTCCCAGGACGTCACAGATCTTTATGGCTGCAGGGACTGTAAAGTCACCCAGTTCAGCCCCTCGTTTATATACAAGAAAACAGTCCTATAGAGAAGGCGTGCCTTTTTAAGTCACACATTTGAGCAAATAAATAATTATCTCCTCACACATTTAAGATTGCTATTACATCCTTCTCTCTAGACCTCTTCTTTTAACCTTTCATCCACTCAGAATGCTCGCCTGGACCCTCTCTAATTTCTCAACATCTTTCTTTTGTTTTTGGAGACGGAGGCTCGCTCTGTCACCCAGGCTGCAGTGCAGTGGCATGATCTGGGCTCACTGCAACCTCCACCTCCCGGGTTCAAGCAGTTCTCCTACCTCAGCCTCCCAAGTAGCTGGGATTACAGGTGCCCACCACCATGCCCAGCTAATTTTTGTATTTTTAATGGAGATGGGGTTTCACCATGTTGGCCAGGCCAGTCTCAAACTCCTGACCTCAAGTGATCCACCCACCTGAGCCTCCCAAAGTGCTGGAATTACAGGCGTGAGCCACCATGCCCAGCTCAACATCTTTCTTAAGTGGGCCCGAGGCTAGGGGGAAAATCTCACCGTAGAGATATTTGTTAGATATTGAGCATGTGTAAAGAAGGCATCTGTGATGGTTAATTTTGTGTGTCAGTTGGACTGGGCCGTGGGGTGCCCAGATATCTGCTTGAACATTACTCTGGGTCCATCTGTGAGGGTGTGGGGTAGGATTGGCATTTAGGTTGGTGGAGCAAGTAAAGCAGGCTGCCTCCCTAACACGGGGGTCCTTATCCATCAGCTGAGGGTCCATATAGAACAAAAGGCTGAGTTGGAGGGCGCCCCTCCTGCATGACCAACTTTCAAGTGGTGACATCAGCTTTCTTCCTGCTTTTGGACTTGAACTGAAACATCACCTCTTCCTGGATCTTGAGCCTGCTGGCCTTCAGACTAGAACTACACCTTCGGCTTTCCTGGGTCTCGGCTTGCTGACTCACCCTGCAGAACTTAGGACTCGTCAGCCTCTACATTTGTATGAGCCAATTCCTTATAGTGTCTCTTTCTCCATATATACATGTATCTCCACATCTTATTGTTCTGCTTCTCTCGAGAACCCTGAATAATACAGTATCATTCCAAGATCAGCAGAAATGTTAGTGCTTCTGGGGAATTACTGCAAAGGGTACCTGAGTAGCAGCACATGCTCTCAGTACCCCCGCCTTCTGTTGTCTGCTGTGGCCTGCTCCCTCCCCACCCTTTGGGTTGATTTCAGGATAGAGATATGGGGATGGCACTGGGGTTGGGTGTGCAGTTACCCAGAACAGCCAGGATGTGTGCACGCTGTGTCCCAGGAGCAGGAGCATCGAGCACTGCTCAAGCTGCTTGGAAAAGAAAACAAAGGAAAGTGCGGAGCTGGGTGGGCGCTGGAATGGAGCAGGAAGAAAGGGGCAAGGGCAGGAGAGAAGCAGAAGAAACAATCCCTGAGACAGAGCTGGTGTAACCAAGGCTCTGTTTGCCCCACCATTTGAGAGAGAGGGTGAGCTGACGTCAAGGCCCAGCTCTGTTCAAAGGTAGGACACTGATTTTCTTCAAGAAGGCAGAGCTGGGGAGTGGCCTCATGTCTTATCATCATGGAAAGGGGAGGGCTGGGGGAGAGAAGGGGCAGCCAGGGCCTCCGAGTGGTGTAGGCCTCACCCTTGTGCTCACATGTCCCAACCACTGCCAGTGGTGCCACCCCTGAATCCCAGACCCCATGTGTAACCATCTACCTGGACCACAAGAGGAAGCACCACGTTCTTTGTCACGGTTCAGGGTAAAGGCATGATCTAAGTTGGGCAAAAGAGAGTCATCCTGGTACCTTAAAAAGGAGTCTAGGGTGAGCCCCAGTCTGCTGGTGGCCGTCTTCACCACCTTTGAGGAGAGACGACCTGAGCAGACACACAAAGGAAAGAGGTGGAGAGAAACCGTGCCTTTGTGTCATTGTTTGAGTCCCTGGACCCAGTCAAGCCCCCTGGACTATGCTGAACTTTTCAGCCGTGGAAAGCAATAAAGTCCATTTAGTTAAGAAAGTTTCGGTTCTGTTTCTTGCAGCTGTGAGCATTCCGACAACCTTGATGTTCCAGGCCCCCCTTGGGCCAGGTCCATGAGCTCATTGCTTGCCACGCGCCTCACAGCATCAACTCAATGTTCCCCAAAGCCACGCCCTTCCTTTCCTGCTTTCACACCAGTGACTACACCATGCTCTTAGGAAAGCCTGTCCCTTCTCCAAGGCGCAGATCAAGTCTCTCCTTTAGGAAGTGTTCCTTGGCTGTCAGGTTTGGGTGTTATCAGGTTTCCTTTTTCCTGGTGGCTGGATTGGAAGGCTTTAGAGGGCAAGGATCATGTGTTAGGATCTCTGCATCCTCCACAAGGCGCTTGTGTTCAGTGTATTTGCTGAATGAATGTCACATAAAAAAGCATGACCCGGTCAGGCGCAGCGGCTCACCCCTGTAACCCCAGCAATTTGGGAGGCCGAGGCGGGAGGATCACCTGAGGTCAGGAGTTCCAGACCAGCCTGGCCAACATGGCAAAACCCCATCTCTACTAAAAATACAACAATTAGCTGGGTGTGGTGGCGGGCGCCTGTAATCCTAACTACTTGGG